CCTTTGATGAGACGTTCTCGGATTCCCCTGCTGAGCAGTGATGGATATACCACTTGAGAAGGATCTGAGGAACTGTCAAGCTTGGCTGTTGCGCACGTTGGCAGGAAAGTGTCTAACGTTCAAGGTATGTTTGAGCATTTCTTGATTGTGGGACCGCAGCCGGTGAAGAGACTTTCTCGGATTCCCCTGCTGAGCAGTGATGGATACCGCTTGAGAAGTATCAGAGGCTTTCTGCGTCAGTTTTTTTTCAGCACGCATTGGCGCATTGGTCAGAAACATATTTGATGCATGATGATGCATGAACATTCTGTCGGCAAAGCTTAAGTGGAGAAAGAACTCTATATTTGAATCTTCAAGTCTATATCCAACAAGAGTCATGCTCTTGCATTGTGTGCATAGGCGGGAAGAGTTTTGATGCCCAGGTGCTGTCCATTTCCATCATTATCCTTCCTGTGAAGAGACGTTCTCGGATTCCCCTGCTGAGCAGTGATGGATCCCACTTGAGAAAGGTCAGAGGAACTGTTCTTGTTCAAGTCGTAGAGCGTTTGAAACAACAGTTCTTGTTTACTGGGTCTTTGCCCGTGAAGGGATGTTCTCAGGATGCCGAGTCATGACAGATCTTTGATGTGTAATCATTCTTTTGCACTTCCATTCAGACGGTTCGGTTGTCCTGATTGCATGAGTTCAAAGAAGTAGCCAAGTAGCAAGTTGTCCCTAAGTCACCCAGTGACAGTTATATATCCGAATTTTGTCGACACGGCACGTGGAGTCGTGATACTATCGAAGGGTCAAACACAGGAGTCTGACTGCCTACTGAGGTTTACAACACAGTGGTCAATTAATTTCAGCTTTGATGAAAGACATATTCAAACCCAGCGGAGGAAGGAAGACACTTTTCTTCCATGCAGAGGGGGTTTGTGGCTATGATGTTCAACTGAGTGCTGACATATCTAGACCTTTTCACCCCAGCTTGTGTTCCCCTTGCCCCGGTCATCTTTTCAATCCTTGGTCCTGAAGAGGTGTGGCCGGATGGGATGAGGCAGGACCACAAGAGCCAAGGTGACAGGCCTTGCTGAAAGGTCTTGGTGAACCTGCTAGCAATGGCCTCCAACCTAGCCTCCAACCTACTAGCGATGGCCTCCAACCTACTAGCGATGGCCTCCAAATGCTCAGCCATGAAAGAATGGCATAGAATCGCAGGAGGACCATTCAGGTGTGTGTAGGAGAAGTCAGGGTGGTGAAGAGTCTGTCCCTTCAAGTTCTTGCCCTCAAAATCCAGGGGAAGTTGAAAGAGTGAACCAAAAGGTTGAAGGAGTGAGTGACTCAAAGAAGTCCTGGACTTCAAGAGGGGTGACAGTCCGGAGCGGCTCACTTGCTGGCCAGCAAGCTGGACGGTTTCGTTCGTTTCGTCATGGGAATTACCTGCCAACACATGGAATGTTGCCATTTAGAATGCTTGACCATTACGTCCAAGACGCACCACCGATCATGGCCTGCTTTTTGACCACATCGTCACATCATGGTGTAATCCTTTCGTTTCGATGCTTGCGCTTGCTCGTGTGGCCTTCATAGGCGCTGCTGCTGATGCTTGAGCGATCTTTTCAGGCCTGATCAGTTGATCGGTGATAGGTATTGGACAACTGGGAAGGCAGGAGGAACTCATGTGGAACATTGTGATGGAAAATCGCTGCCCACAAGTCACAGCCCTAGAATGTGTGTTTTGATCACAAGTCTGCGAGTATGATTGGGGATAATTTTGTTCTACACTCAGAGCAGGGTCAGGGTGATAGGTGATACAGTGATACATCAAATATGCTGCACTATGTTAGCAAATGTATTATATAATTTGTGCTGCTCAAAACGTGCATTCCTCGCTAGTCTACAGAGACGATGTTGGGACAAAGTGCCAGAACATTGTCAAAACGAGTCTACAGTGGTATTGAACAATGGTGTGTGTGTGTGTGTGTGTGCGTTTGTGTGTTTGTGTTTGGAAGATTTGTACTTCCAAATTTAATGAATTGTCTACTTTCCACTTGATCGCCCTTCCTCCAATGAAAAAAATATTGTGTGACAAACCTTTGCAGGGAAGGAGTTGTTTAATGCGGGGTCTTTGGTATTATTGGTGTCTTTGGCCTGAAGCCAACACGGAACGAACTGTCCTGGTCATGACAATGGAAGCTGTCCTGGAGCCGTGCACTGGTGACCCAATAGTGAGGACCTGATCCCACTGAGAGGCTGGTGACGTAGAAGTCCTGAGTCCACTGAGAGGCTTGGTCCTTCCCAGGACGTTGAACCCCGAGGGGCCAACCTGAAGAGCTCCAGGTTTGGGTGAAAACGGCTGTGCTTGCCGTTGACCCTGGTCATCTACAGGGTCTTGTACCTCACAGGTTTAACCAGGGTGGCCAGGCCGCGCACACGTTGTTGCAGGTGGAGCCTGGATCCACCTGGAGACTGGAGCTCGGGGGCCCGTTGCGGGCGGAGGGTGGAGCCACTCCAGTAGTGACAGAAACGGCGACCGGAACGGGGCCCCGGAGCAGTTTGGAAGAGGCCTTTCATGGACATACCGGGTAGCGCCTGCAAGTCCTTTCAGTATGGTCAGCTGATTGGACCTCACCTCCATACGAGGCATACGCTGCTGCGACAGCATCTCACCTCTACAAAGGCCTGGGCCGTGCGAACGTATGTGCATGCTAGAGAGGCCCATTGGGCCCGAGATGCCGGGCGACAGACATCTCGCCGTGCTACGAGTATAAATGAGTTCGCAGGTCAACAGCCAATCACCATACAGACATGCAAGTGTATCCCAGATAAACATCCGATTGGCACACGCAGGTACGCGTCTCTGAACGCCTGGCAGCGCAAGTGCGTTTTCGCGAAGGGGTGGAGGATAGACATTTTGGATGCAGCTGGGCAGTGCGACTGGGTTGCTAAGAAATTAAGTTGCATAGATGCTGGTCAACTTGCTGAATCACAAATTGACGATGCTTTCAGATAGGTATGTGGTTTCAGAACTCCACAGCCTCCTCTCAAAGCCGAAGTGGTTTCGTAGAGCAGCTGAGCATCAAATCAGAGTGAACCAAGATGGTGGCCGCTCGTGGGTAGTTGAACTTGAAGAGCCCCACCTTCCTTTAAAAGAAGATCTGAAGGGGTATTGGACGCATGGAGGCGCCATGTTTTTCGGCATGGGTGTGGGGAGAAATTCCCTCGTGCTGCGCTCCTCGAGGGCGACAGTGGTATCTTGCAGCTCCTCCATGTTTCATCAAGCAGCTTCCCCCAATAAACATGCATCTCAATGCGCTGAATGGTGTTCATCCCGCGGGATGGCGGGATTCTACGGAGCCTTCTTTCAACAGCAACCAGCTTGAGATCGGCATGCAGTTTTGGGTGAGTGTTTCTCACCCCAGTCAAAAAAGAGAGCAGCTCTACACCTACATAGCTTACATCTTCAACTTCTTCTACCCCTAACGCCATGGGTGTGTAGCGGTTCGGAGCCATGGAATCATCATCATAGCCCCTTTCCTTTGTCTCTGCCATTGAATCCGATGCTAAGACGGTCTTTGTTTCCAGGACCAGCACGTTGCCATGCTGCGCTACGTCTTGGCGGTGCGTGTGGGCGTGGGCGGGCGCCTCAAAGGAATTCCGACTCGGTGTGATCATCGTGATGGACCGAACAAGACCGAATCAGGAAGAAAACGCCATTTCAGGGTTTGAACTTCTTACGCTTTTGATCTGTTCAGTGACTTTTAAGTCGGTGGTGCTTCTTCTTCTGGGGGCGCTTTTGATCTGTTCAGTGGCTTTAAGTCGGTGGTCCTTCTTCTGGAAAAACAAATACGAGAGCTCTTCGCTCATGAGCACTGCACGCGCGTGACCTCGATCCTCCCGTCCATGAGCCGTTGGTCGTTGACTCGTCCGGTCCGGTTCACCGCGTCCGGACTGGGCCAGGCTGGAACGAGAGCTCCCAAAGCTTCAGTGGCCCAGTGTCCATCCTCCCGACTGGTCCAGGCGAAGGGCGGATGGCGAGGGGAAGGGAGGGGAGGGGGGATATGCGAGCCGACGGGCGCAGGAGAGGCACCGCCAGAGTAGTCTATTTTTGCATGGTTTTGGGCAACCCGGAGATTTGCTGGTTTATAATTGACTCGTAGTTTGCTATTGCGATTTGAACATTATTACTATATATATATATGTGTGTGTTTTTCTTATATATATATACATTGTACGTTGTTCGAAATACAAGAAACAACAGGTGTTTTCATCAAAGTGAACAACTAGTAGGAAGTTAGAAACAGAAGGTCAACTCGATTACAGGCTTTCCGTTGAAGGGCTCAGGGGCAGTGAATTAGTCTCACCTCTACTGCAACGAACAAAGCATCTCAGAGAATCTGGCGGGTTCTGGCTGCGCGCAATGTCCGACTGTCTCAAAATGAGGGGAGGCAAATGTCTGACCATTGGTTCTTCCTTGTCTTTTGAGGCAAGCCAGTTTCCTGGACTTTTGGTGCGGCCCATCAAAGTGGTTGCTTCATCTAGACCAACTGTTTCGAGCTCGTGGTGTCCGTACACCACTGGACGTCTCGCGGGTGCTTGGAACCGTGCAACCGCAGGGGACGTGACGGCCGTCGCTGGCCTCAGCGATCGCGCGGTGGATGCGGAGGGTGTGGGTTCCAGGATGGGGGCCTGAAAGAAGTTCAACTGAAGACCTCCAGTCGCGCAGTCTGACCATCCTCCAACAGTTGGTTTGATGGGTGGGGTGGAAGGTGGACATTCTTGAGGACTTAAGGACGTTCTTTCTTGAGGCTCCTGCTAGTGCAATGTCACCTGTCTGGCCTCTTCAGGCCCCACACCAATAATACCTGGAGACTTGCAGTTTCTGGAGTACACTTTCTCAAGAACGGCATCAAAGTTGATATTCACACGCCTTCTTCTATCCACTTGGCCTTCCCAGGAAGGTGTTCCACAGTTGCAAATGTATGGCAAATTCGTCCCTAGGTTCACCCAGGTAGAGCTGGCTCAGTACCAATTGTGCTCGTGGCAACAAGTGGCAAATGTGGACGAGCAACCCAGATTTTGACTCAATATGTTGGCTCATTGCGTTCTTTTCAAGCAAGGCCACCCAGGGGCAAAGAGCAAGAAACGAGCACATACACCATAGTGACCATAGAGTACGTACTACTTATTATATAGATTATAAATGCATGTTTTACAAGCAAGGAATTAGAGCCACCGTGAGTCACCATGGACTTCACCCAGAAAAACGTTGATGTGAGGTCATTTATCTCAGTGCTCCTCCTCGCGACCCGCGGAGCTCAATGGGTGCCGCTCTCAGCTGTGCACGTCAAAAAGAGTTTGAGCCATTGATGCATCAAGTGAGAATGCAGTGGAAGCCTTTGATGGCGGCACGTCACGCAGTTTCAGGAAAACTGCCTAGAGCGATGATTCCTTGTGGCTCATCAAGCTGGAAGCCATGAACCAAACAAGATGTTCAAGGCTATATCATTATCGATCAACGGCTGATATTCCTTCACGAAGCAGCAGCTGCTGAGCCAATCAGATTGGTTCACCGTACTAAAACTTTAACATGAGATTCTCGTGTGGGAAGATGAAGTCCGAAGCGTTATTGGACAAGTCAGTGGTTTGATGAGCTAGGGCTAAGCAGGTCTAGGGAGTACAGGTGCACGTGCAAGCGATCCAAGAATCTTGGTGCAGAGCATGGGGATCGGGATCTCATACTCAAAGCCCGATCCACAGACACAAAAATACACAAACTATTCAAATCACAAGTGCCAACTTTTGTCTGAGAGAAGTCAAGGTGACAGGCAAACTTCAAGCCTCCCAGGTTTCCCAAAGGGCGGGGACCTCGCCGCATGCCATGGCATGCCGAGCACACTCTTCACCTTCGGCTGCGGCCCCTACGGCGAGCTGGGTCATGCCAGGTCTGAGAATCATCCATGCCCAGAACCCACGGCAGTGCATTTCCCAAGCAGCGCCCCTCGGAATGGCGAGCCGCTGGTCGAAGCCATCGCAGTAGGAACGGACCATTCCCTGGCGGTGGTCGGGGGCAAAGTCTACCGCTGGGGATTGCATGGCGCACATGCGGTGCCGCGCTCTTGGCGTGGTCGGTGCGAAGAGAGGACGTCGTCCTCGGTGGTGCCTGCACCACTTCTGCTGGCCGATCTGCGAGGTCGTAGCCCATCACCAAGGGGAAGGCAGTCGCCACTGAGGCGAAGTCAAAGCCCACGAGGTCGAGGGTGCGCAGCTATTGCCTGTGGGGGTTCCAATTCTTTTTTGCTCAGCACAGATGGTGAAGTCCTGATGTTTGGAGGGTTGTGGCCCCCTGGGGGAGAAACAGATCAGCTTCGGCACCTGTGGGGAACCGCCCGAGGTGGTCCTTCATCAAAGGTGGCGCAGGTGGCAGCAGGATGGAGACATTGCTTGTTCCTCACAGAGGCCGGCCGTGTTTTCGCGCTGGGTGATGACGAGTTTGGGCAGTGTGCAGGTAGTGGGAGTGGAGCAGCAGCTATTCCCTTGCCATCTGCACAGATGGCAGTTGGGGTGGCCGCTGGTGCATGCCACTCCTTTGCCTGGGACACTGAAGGCAGTGCCTTTTCCTGGGGTCACGGCGGCAATGGGAGGTTGGGACTGGGCTCGTCCCATCATCGGAGCAGCCCTCACAAGGTGGATGTGGCAAAGGTTTGTGGAGTAAGTTGTGGCGCTAACTTCAGTTTCTTTGTCACTGACTTGGGGCGCTTGTGGGCTTGTGGAGGAAACCACTATGGGCAGCTGGGCAACAACGAGTCGACGAGCTCCGCAACGACCACGCCTGTGCCAGTCCACTTGGATGAAGAGGTCGTTGGTATCGCCTGTGGTGCCAACCATGTGATTTGCCTCACGAGATTTTCAGAGCCGAAAGATGGGAGACTTCGAAGGGAGCAGAGGAACACTGTTTGGGCCTGGGGCAGCGCCTCATCAGGGCAATGTGGCCGTACCGAAAGAACAGCCGAGCTCAAAGAAAGCCAGCTACGGCCTGAGAGGCTCTTGGATTTCTCTCCGCCCTCGCCTCATTTTGCTGTGGCCGTTGCAGCCGGCCGCAGCCACTCAGCCGTTTTGGCCTCCCGAGGTGATGGTTCGAAGGTCCTCGAGAATCGTTTGAGTCCCAGAAGTGAGCCTCGACTTCCGGTGTCGCCACCACCAGGTGAGGACATCATTGAAGAGTTTCTCATCGGCTTGGTGGAGCCCAGTGGGGCCAAGTCCATCTCTCTGGTAGAGCTCGGTGAAGCTGCTCTCGAAGCGGACCACCCCGAGCCCCTGGATCGGCGTGCCCGTCATGGAAGCGCGCGCCGAAGCGAGCGCCGGCTTCGCTCGCCACAGCGAAGACGCTTGGGCGGAACCCCCTTGCGCCAGCGGCGGCCCAACACCGCTAGGCAACCCTTGACGCCCAGGCTTCCAGGGCCTCCAGCGCCTCCAGGGCCTCAAAGTTGCAAGCCTCGGACCGAGCCGCTGACGTTGTCGGAGCCCGTGACGGTACGAACTCAACCACCTCGGACCGTGCGTGCCGTGTCTCCAGTCCCTCGGGCGGCGGCAACAGCCGCGACCGTGACAGGTTCCGCGACCGGGCGCCTTCTAGCAGAAGCTTTGGCGGTGCAAGCAACACCTGTGGATGACAAGTGGAGTGGCATCCATGAGAGTTTGAAGGGGCTCAGTTCCTTCATCGCCAAGATCGGCTCGCCGGAACGTTCACTTCGATCTTCCCTTCCTCAGGCCTGAGAATGACTGGGCTTGGTACTGGACCTTTTGGGGGTTCCAATATGATGTTATTTCATTAAACAACGTGCTATTATTATTTATTCAGATTGTGTGGTATTCACATATCTTGGGATCTTGGAGTCCCAATATGTCCAAATGCACGAATGGTAGGGTTTGGGCTTCTGGCGGACCACACACCTAGCTAGCCAGGTCTTTTTCTCTCAAACCTGAAAGCCTTCACCTCAAATCTGTTTGCCTGTGACCTGGGTTCTTTCCTATTCTCACCTTTCACAGGAAAGCAGCAGCAGCTCAAGGTTTCATTATGCTTTATAGAAAACCGTCAAACAAAAAGACGGAGAAACGTTGGTTTCATTTGCAACCCCCGGAGGTCTCAATGCCAGAACGCATCTCAGTGTGGCAAGGTCCCACAAGCTTCGGCGATGTGACTGAAAGGGTCTCTCAGTCAAAGGAGCCGCCTCCTGTGGAGATGCCTCATGTTGAAGCACCAATGACACCTTTGCGGCCAAGCCCTCAGCGATGCGATGAGAGCTTAAGCGATGCTTTCGACTTTTCGCCGCACTCAGAGGGGGATGAACCATACCAGCTTGTGGAGGAAGAGAGGCAGCATGACCCAAGAAGAGAGCAGACGGGCCGTCACAAGGCCAAGGCTCACCCACAGGAGGAATGGTGGAAGGAGCAGCAAAGGCAAGGACAAGAGCAGCGATTGCAGAACCAAAAAATGCGATCAGAGCAGAGGATGCAAGAAATGGAGCGGGAAATGCAGCGCAGAGATGAGGAGAGGCTTCGAGAGGAAGAGCAGCGACAAGAAGAGGAGAGATTGGAGCAGCAGCGAAGGCACGAGGAGCGAAGAAGAGAAGAAGAGCAGCAAAGAGAAGAGGACTTGAGAAGAGAAGAAGAGCAAAGAAGGCAAGAGGAGCGAAGAAGAGAAGAAGAGCAAAGAAGACAAGAGGAGCGAAGAAGAGAAGAAGAGCAAAGAAGACAAGAGGAGCGAAGAAGAGAAGAAGAGCAAAGAAGACAAGAGGAGCGACAACGAGACGAAGAGCGGCAAAGAGAAGAAGAGCAAAGAAGAGAAGTGCAACGGCTGCAGACGAGCCGAAGCTCCATTGAATCCACGACCACCGAAGATCCTCAGGCTGATGCCAATGCCTCATTCACTTCAACTCCACCCAGACTGCCTGCGAGCGCCTTGCGGCGGACTGAGCTCACACCTGGCACTGATGGAGGCCACACCATGTCCTCAGAGAATGTCGTGAGCCGCGCTCGTTCCTCCCCTGATGTGGACGAGATTCTCGCAAACCTAGAAAGTGAGGAAGAGTCCACTGAGGAGGAGGATGGAGATTGGGTTTGATGCTTTGGACGGCCAAAAAAGGGCCACACATGTACAAAGGCGATCTTTTAATTGAAAGGATGCTGGACATGTTTGCTTCAGCTTAATTCGTGTCAGCGAATGCACCTTGGTCGCACTTGCCCCCAAGTGACAATGAAAGAGAGCGAGCAGAAGCCAGGAACAACTTTCACACAACCTGAAGCCTGTGTCATCTATGTTACATGGAATAGATGGAATCTCAATATTATCACTTATAATATGATATATCATCATCATCATCATCATCATCATCATCATCATCATCATCAACAAAATTGATAGGTTGGGTCTTGTTGCATGTCCGTTGCCAGGCCCTTTGCAGATCACATGGCAGGGTCCAAACAGCAGGACAGTGGGACGGTTCACTACTTTCAGAAACTGGCGCGCATGCGGGATGAAGATCTGCAAACATCCAATGCAAAAAGTTCAGCAATGCACACAAATAGATCCTGAAGGACATCCAGACTTTTGTTTACTCATCAACTCTCCGTCTCCGTCATTTGCCTCGTTCACAAAGTGCTTCATGGCTATCTCGCTTGACAGTGGCTTCTCTTCGGCACGGATCTGCAGAAGAACCTGTAAATCTTGGGTGAGGAGGATTTCCTTGTACTCAAGATTTACAGGTTCAGGAGTACTCCTAGCGGGCCTTGTACAGGAGTACCATGATATACTGTACTGCCCGTTTCAGGAGTACAGTATATATCATGGTTTGCCGCTCCCTAGAAACCATGGTTTGGCAGCACTCGTGTGAACTCAACATCCCTTTAGGCCCACCTTCAGAGGGTTTGGCTACAGAAAAAACCGTGGAAAACAGCAGCAACCACAATAAGCATGGTTTGAGCGCTGTGTAAACCAACTTCCCATTAGATTCGGTTCTTGCAGTGCAAAAATCGTGCCATATGGAGGATGAGTCGGCAGCACATGCCTCGTGGCCGCCGGCTGAGCGTTTTGGGCCCACATGTACGAGAGGCCAGGCGTAGTGAGTCACGGAAGGACTTTGAGTAAGGCCCAAGAAGCTTTCAAAGGTTCTATGAGTCTATGACAGACTATAAGTATCAGTGATTATACATACATATATATATATATATTTTATTTATAAATATATGAGTATTATTATGTCGATGTGCCTGTGACTCAATGTGCTTTTAATGCTTGGCTTGGACAGAAGACCAATACTTGAGAGGCTGGGGCATGGCGGTTGACGGTCTCTTGGACAGCGCCAGACGTCACTTGCCACCACATCCATTGAATTGAAAAGTGGTCACATCGCCAGTCAAGAACCAGTAAGGGTATGTCAAGAGGAAGGACACCCCAAGAACCTCAAAAGCCAGAAAACATGCGTTCAAGGGGATGCCGGGATCCGTTGAGAAAACCTCATTCCGTGCTTTGCAAGATGATCCCGTCGGAGCTTGAACGTTCGGAAAAAAAAAAAACGAAGTTCATCCAACCTGGCATCAAAAGCTTGGCATTGGGGTCTCGTTTTGTGGCTCATTAGATGTTTTTCCATGACTCATGGGTCGGGAGGTTGTAAGAAAACATGCATGACCATCCGCTTGATCCATGTGCGGTGGAATTTGGTCAATCCAAGCCGATCCCGGAACCGGGAAGCGGAAGCATCATGAGATGGGTGGCCTCCATCGGCTTTTCAACATAAAAGACGAAGCAGTCAACTGGGAACAGCTATGAACAGCTCCAGAAGTTGGGAGGTGAACTCCAACAAGATCGGCAATCTGGTTCATTGTTCTTTCGACCTTTCCGTGACTGGGTGCTTCCTCTATGCAATTATGTACTCGTACCTTGCTACTTGGCCCACTTTCTCATGAAATAGAGCACCGCGTGGAACACCTGGGCTTGGGTTAGTGGTTAGCGCCTGATGAACCTTTCATCACTGGTGCCAGTCGCTGAACCACATATTCACTGTCACTAGAATCCTGGAGCAGAATTAGCCCTAGTGACTTCAAATGGCCATCAAGTACATGGTGTAAATGTGAACATCCTCAATGCTTTACACTGGGCTGGGCTTCGACAAGCTTCAGCTTCAGAACCTGCGGAGGGCCCCTCTCAGCGAACTGAGTTGCTCCCTGACATGTCCTAACTCAACAACTGACGAGCTGCGTACACGACTAAATAACACTTCTGTCTCCTGGGATGAATCAACAGCACCCGGAGAAAACTATGTTTGTTCCAAAAGAACCGTTTAACAAACTCACTAGGAATAGAATGGAATAGAGCTATGGTTTTTCATAAACTACATATGCTGTTTCTGTTGTTTGTTGTTTGGCTGTCCACAAGTCCCAACTCTTTGTTCCCACATTCCCAAATCCCGCACCAATACTTTGCAAATGTAACACAACTTTGTGATTTTTGAGATGGCTTTCTTCATCTTTCTTCTATTCAGTGCATTCCATTGGGCGGGGTGGCAGTTTAGTAATCATAGGTGGACATTCTATATTCAATGATTCATCATCCCCCTAACCACCCAAGAAACCAACAACACAGGGTGGTAGATACTCTCACCCATCCGGCTCACGAACCATCCCCAGGTCCATGAGCACTTCCATGCGACGTTCCCTCCAGAGCGGCCAACGCCACGACTCACATCAGTGGCCTCAGCGCCTTGGTATGCGTGTCTCGGGGACGGCGTCGGACGGTCTGGAGTGGAATGCGAGGATGGCATGGATCCTCCGTGCTTCCGAGGAAGAACACCGAGGACGAACCGATCCCGACAGGACGGGGAAGTGTTGACGCGGCGGACCAGCGCAGCGACCCGCAGCGGTGTCTAATCATAGCAACATACACTACGGTCGCATCGTATCTAGTTTCCATTCGTTTCCCACGTCCTTGAGGTGACGCGCCGTTGCGCTTGCAGGTGATGCAACGCTCGCTAAATCGCGAAATAAAGGATTCGTTGGCCGAGTTTATACTTTCACAGGGCATACTTCCCCTAGGGCATCTGAATGAAATGGACTTCACTATCCCGTAGTAGTGACAAGAACGCTTTTGAAAAGTTTGGACACTTCAAACCACGCGGCTCGCCTTGGGGAATAAGTTTCTCACTACTCCATAGCAGCATAGCTGAACAGTCTGGAGACTTTCCAGAGCCTTGTTTGGGTTTTTCAGGTGCCTACCCAGAGCTCCTTGTCCTTCACAAGGACTTGCATTCCGGAGCGGGGGGGGAGCCAGAGGGGCGATCATTCTCCGAGGTCTCTTCGAAGAGATGGTGATCAGCAAGCTGATCCCTCAAAGCAATTGGTTGACTCAGTGGTTGACTCATGTTGACACCATTTCGCTTCACGAAGGGTGCCATTTCACGCGATTCGTCCGCTCAGGTGTCGGAATCCCACCATGTCGATTCCTCGAGTCAAGCCCGGGATGACCCGTGGATCGAGTCGTGTCGCTCTGTTGCAGAACAGTCCGGGCCAGAACGAGTACCGAAGATGCGAGCCGGGCCGGGTCGGAGACGAGCGGTCCCTATTTCTGCGTCCAGGCCTTTTGTGGTCTACGAAGATGCTGATGATCTCATGAAGAGTCTGGAGATCCCAGCGCGGCGTTTTCGTTGGTTGGCTGAGAGAAGTTCAGAAGGCGAGAGAGGGACCTACAGCTATTGGCGGGCGAATACTCCGGGTATGTCAATGCGAGAGCGTGAACTTGTGAACATTTGTGAGCTACTTAGCCATGATACCAACATGGTTTGTCAAGTTGCTGCCAACTAGACTATACAATACTCTGCAACAAGCGTTTGGAGAACATTTGTTCATGCAAGTTCCAGTTCCTTTTGCTGTCACACCCTGTGCATCCAGTTCAGCCTGTTCCCCCGCCCAACGTGGTACGCGCAGATGGTCTCAAGTTTTGCCCACCGCGCCGCATTAATTGTGAGTTGATGTCCACAAAATTGATGAGTTTTGGGGCACCGAGGATGCAACGAGAGCTGCCTGAGGATGTACTGGCAAGTGGAGTTGAGCAAAATGAGAGGGAGGCTGTGGGGAAGATCTTCGCTGGGTCAGGAGTTTGATGACTTCTGAAACAGAAAACAACTATAGCAGAAATTGGATAAATCCGGATCCAAGATAGTAAGTGACTTGGGTTGCAGGACAACTCGTTTTGTTTCAGTACTCGTCGCCTTCAGGCCCCGCCCTGGGTTGGGGACGAGAGCGCTATCACCAGACACACCAAGCTTCCCAAAGGAAAGGATGGAACTTGACAGAACTTGACCATCGTCATGACATGACTTCGACGTCATGATTTCGACGTCATGACTCATGTTTTTTGACTGGCTAAGATGTCGTTCGCAAGTCATGGAAAAACGGATTCAACAGCGGGATTCAACTTGCTCCTACTTGAGCCGAAAGACATCCGACTCTCCAAGCCGGAGTCGCTTTTCCGAGCCGCCAGATCCAATGTATGTTCTACATGTTCCTTCGCCCTGGTCTTCTCCAATGTGGCATTGCTTGGATTCTTGCTTGGATCAAGCATAAGACGTATATAAGACGTATTCGTGACAAATGTTGTTATTTTTTGAGAGCTGTGGCATGACAAGAGGTCGTAATGGTTGGAAAGCATGCGCGGGGGTCTATTTTCCAATGAGACCGCTCAGGTAGGCATGAATCTCAAGATTCCTCAAATATGCAGCAGGAGGTCTTTTTTATCTCAGTTGATTTGAGCCCAAATGAACGTGTAGTTGGGAAATTGCCACACTCGCAGGGTTTTTGGATGTTTTTGCATCCAGCTCCAACTCGCAGAGAGGGTTCCACTTGGGATGGCTGCAGTATCACCATGGCGTGGGATCAGCACAGGCGTGGCTTGTGCGGAGGGTAAAGCACAGAGGTGGGAGCACCAGGGTGGGACTGAGAGCCCTTCGATTGCAGGTATCTCCTCTTTTCTCTGGGTGGCAAACAAGTTATATGTGCTCTCCCCAAGGGATAACATGCATGAGTTGTGTGTCCCACCGGTAGCTTTTCAAAGTCAAAGCTGCCTGGCCTCTCCCACCAGACCTCCTTGTGGGGAAGGTGGAGAGAGGTCAGGTGGTTGAAAACTGATTGTTGCTGGACCACCTCTTGCCCTCAGCGCTCCCGGTGGGGTGAGGGGGCAAGTGGTGGCCAAGGTAGGCCTCTGGAGGCCCTAGACTCCCCCATGGGAGTAGGGGACTCCAGAGGCCACTGTCAACTGGGGTGTGAGAAGGCCACTAGATAAGGTTACAAAGCTCTCACTCTCTCTGTTCTCGGGAGGGGATCCTGAGGGTCCTATCCCTCCTGGGCAGGAGCCCGGAGGACCTGAGTCAGAGGGAGAAGGAAGAGAGAGAGCAAGAGAGGGAAGTGAAGGTGGAAAACCAAAAGTTGGGAAGATTGGAATGATGTCTTGCAGAGTGGCCTTCTGCCCCATCATATGATTTGGGTAGATGGAAAAGACCATGATGATTTTTTGAGTTAGGCTGAGTCGGTCCTGGGCAAAGTTTGTGTGATGGAATACGAGTGCCATGGTTGGGATGGCCAAGCCCAAGGAAAAGCCTGTTTACGCGTTGAAGTTTGGAGTGATGCTGGCAGAGTGTTATGTCTGGAATGGTAGATTTCAAAGGAAGGTTTGCATGGGTGTCGAAGACTGGGGTGATCTGGGACGAAGTTATTTGGTCGGTGATCACCTGGTCGCCAGTGATGGTTGCTATGAGTGGTACGGTAAGGAGTGCCTGAAACAAGTCAAGTGTTCGTATCACCTCTGCCAAGATGATAGAAAGAAGTCCAGAGACTATTTGAGTCGAGGAGATAGCAGGGAGTTGGTACATGTTAGTCGATGGCGTTTGGTGAACGTTTTCATGATGTCCGAAATGGAGTATTCAGAGTAGAAGGAATTGGAAGCAGTTATGCAGTTTGTTGACTCCTGGGTTCCTCGAGTGTCAGAACCTGCAAGATCGCCAAAAGAGAAGAAAAGCCCTGAGGGCTGTGGTGATTGTACAGGACGGGACAAGGCTCTTGAGGCTCTGAAGTCCGCTGAGGTTGACAAGGAGGACCAGACAGATCCAGCTGAGAAAGAGAGAGGAGCCGGACAGAGGACCCGGAGGGAGCAACAACGAAAATGCGGCTGAGGGCAAAGCAGAAGCCGCAAGAGGCACCGGTAGAGAGAGTGAACCTTCCCGTAAGCTCTCTACTCTGTGAGAGGGGGTCCTGAGGATCCTATTCCTCGTATAGGCTTGAGCCTTGAGGTCTTGCAGAGATGGAGGAGCAGAAGGTCTGGTTCTCCAAAGACACCCTGGAAGACTGGAATGAGTTGCTGTGAGGAGATCACCTGATAGCCACTGACGGCTATTCTAAATGGTATGGACAGAAGTACCTCAATGATGGCAAGGTGACATATCGCCTTTGCCGAGACAATCGAAGGAATGCAAGGAAAAGCTGGCCAAAGGAGATCAAAGATAGGTTGTACACATCAACTGTTGGGGCTTGAAGAACGGAAGGCTTGTTGGCGCTGGTTACCATGACAATGAGAAGTGGCACCAATCTTGGGGAATACTTGGTGCGGTCCAAAAGCCGGGGTCTGACGACGGCAAGAGGGGGGAGGCAGAGGATGTTTTCCCCCGGCCGCTTTGGACCGATGAAAGAGGTGAGTTGACGCGCCTGATTGAAAAAGGAGATGTTAGAAAGTTTGGAGGAAGTGACAAAAAGGCCTTCCAACTTGCGTTTGAAAGTACGATGTTGAACTCCGAGAAGCCCGAGAGCAACATCCTGTTGGAGGAGGAGATGCCGGAGGTGATCCCTAGTCCACACATCCACGCTTAAAGCAGGAGGGGGAAAAGATACCAGCTGAATTTGTACCGGCGAGGTTTGGTGAAGACCGTCGAACAACCGGTGAAGATCAAGGGGAGAGCCCTGGTCAATAAAGCCAGGCAAGTTCTTGGATGATCGGCCAGTGATTCTAGTCTTCAGAGGGACAATTGCCGCCACCAAGGTCGGCGCTCCAGCATGTCTTCCCACCAGAGGGGAAGGTCGTAAGAATGAGCGCAGATGGCTTGGTGACTTGGTGTCCGCCTTCTACCTCTTTGGTTAGCCACCGGGATGTCTAGTGATGAGGACCTTTGCAGAAAACGTCTCCTGGCGAAGTTTGGGGTTTTAAAAGGAAGGTGATACATACATTGGCGCAGCCAACCTACGGATGGGATGGTCATCGACCGTGAGAGTGCTTCAACATACCCACAGACGATTGAGATCATGGGGGCTCGGGTTGCTAAAGATCTGGAAGGGAAAAGCTCTGAAGAGCAGAGGCCTTGAGACAAGCCTATGCCCACTGGGGCATTCCCCTTTCTTTACAGAGAAGAGCCTTCTTTTGCGGTGAGAGCGGGTTCTTCGAAAAGGATTGCAAGTTATATCGGGTCGGGACGTCCATACGTTGCAATTCACACGACCCCAATTTGGTGTTTGTGATTGTGCCTGGAAAGACATCTCTGATGGTGAAGGGTTGGTGAAATTGGAGGGGAAGCCAGTGGAGGAAATCCTGCTGGCAGGTTGCAACCAGCCTGAGTAACTGACCTGACGTCAAAGGTGCATGAGGTAGTGACTGCTTCAGATGCCAGCGAGCCAGGAGGAAGCTCGGTGTACGGTTCAGAGTTGACCAGCAGAGGATAGAGAGAGATATGCGCCCTGGAAGAAAAGGAGGATGATTTTTTTAAGGAGAAGGGGTGAATCTCGATGAGCCACAGAGTGTGCTAGTGTTTGAGTTCTTTACTGAGATTGAAGCCGTAGGCAGGGCTTCGGAACTAGCAGGACAGGAAGTTGATCGCCTGGTAATCATCGAGAAGGACCCTGAGTTTGAAGATTTGTCGCGACGTGAGGATCTCCTACCAAGGTGAAGTTGTGGAAAAGACCTGGACTGCCGCCTGAGGGATATGGAGCTTCGGTGCCTCTTGTTGAGCTGTGTGAGGGAGAACTGCGAGATAAGCTCCTCATTCCTCTGAGCAGCACCCTTCCTGAGGAAGGAATGCCACAAGAAATCCCACGAACTCAAATTCATGCCTCGAGGCAAGAATGGGAGAAGATTGCAGCTGAGCTGTATAAGAGAGGATTGGTGAAGAGAGTTCCGTCACCGGTGCTAGTCCGCGGCAAGTTCCTGGTAAGCGGAAGCTTTTGGAGTAGTGAAACCGGGAAAGTTCTTAGATGATAACCGCCCCATTTTGAGGTTGATCATGGACTTCAAAGGAACGAATGCGGCAACTAGAGTACTAGAGGGAGATGTGAGGAGTTTGATGGGAGCGCCGGCTTTGCAGCGCGTAGTGTTGCCTGCTGGGAAGGTTGTCCGACTGAGTGCGGATGACCTTGTGTGAGTTGGAGTATTGCAACATGCCCATCGAAGATTGGCCCTGGGATCGCCGTTGAGTGGCGGAGGAGGTCTTCTGGGAAAGTGTGAGATCCGTAGAGACAGCGTCTTTCCCAACCTAGAGGAGGAGGACGCACTATGGTCGCTATAGCTTGATGATGCAAGTCTTGTTGAGATCGTGGATTCTAGACTTGCGAAGGATTTGGAAGGAAACAGTTCAGAAGAACAAGAAGCTGTGGGGCCTGCCTATGCGCATTAGGAAAAGAGCGAAGAGCAGAAAGGCTAGGGGCAGTAGTAGATGGTGATAGTGGCACACTGAAGGGCTCGACGAAGAGAGCTTTAGACAATCTGTCCTTGGTTTTTCTGGCTGCTACGCCAAGAGAGAGTCCCTCCAGTTTTTCTTGGAACGAGAAGTTCACACACTTCAGTTCCGCAGGCCACTGTTTGGGGTGTTCAGCTACTTGTGGAAGGACGTTTCAGACGGTGCAGCCTCATTCAACTTGACGCAAAGTCAGTGGAGTAGTTCTGATGGCTGGATCCAGTCAAGCATTGAGGACTGGGAGCTAGGCTGCGTGGAGTTGCGCGTGCTTCGGAGGCGTGTGAGACCGGAGGAGGATCTGTGTATGGCTCAAAGCTGACCGCTTGAACCCGGGAGATGTGAGCCGCTTGAGGAGGAAGCAGATGATGTTGGAGGAGAGGGGATCAACCTGGAGGAGCCGCAGAGCGTCTTGGTGTTTGACTTCCTTCGGGGATTGGAGGCCTGAGCTGGGCCCATGGAGCTAGCAGGCCAAAAGGTTGATCGCCTGGTGGTGATTGAGAAGGATCCGGATTGCAGAAGCCTAAACAAGATGCGCTGGCCAGGATGTGATGTGGTGGCTGACATCGCTTAAGGGCCTGACAGGAGTCATTGCAGGTGGCTGATCGCCGTGCAGGGAGTTCACCTACAGGATCCTCGATCCAAGTTTTTCTATAAGTATGTGGAGGTTCTGGGGTGGATTGAAGATGTGGCAAGAGAGATGAGAGTGTGGTGTGTCAAGATGGTTGAAAATGCGGTCGGCGATGATGAAGGTATAAAAGAAATGAGTCAGCAGCTAGGGTGTCGCCCCTGTATATGTGCGCGAGTGGCAAAGAAAGGAGCACCTCAACCTGCACGAGCTGAGGGCAATCCTGAGGAGCTTGGAGTGACGAGCCCATTCAGCTGCTTTCCACTCATGCCGTTTCCTTCACCTGTCACATTCGCAGATCTGTCTGGCTGCTTTGTCAAAAGGTCGAAGCAGCTCAAGCCGGCGCTTTGAGAAGGATGCCCAGGAGGGAAATGAAGAGAAGAGAGTCCGAGAAAGGCTGTCAGTACAACAAGGTTCACGAGGACCTGCAGAACGTTATACGGTGGCGCTGCAGGAGTTGGTTTTGGTTTATAGAATAATGCTGTGGAAGTGGCGATGGTCTCGGTGAGCGCAAGGTTTTCAACTGTACCGGAGAGGTGTAGCGTTGCCGAGAGCAGAAGGCCAGTCGGCCATCCTTTCTCATACATGACGTTAAAGCTGCGCAACAAACGTGCTTGCCTGGGCAACGGTTCTCTTTAGTGAGAAAAGCGGGATTGCCTGACTGCAAGCTTTGCCTTTTCCTGAGTCATCGACGCATGCCTATGAAATTCGTGGATTTCCCACCGCAGCCTTTAAGTCGCTGTGGAAGGAGAGGGGCTTATGCCCAGGCCATGTAAATTTGACTAGCTTTTGGCCAAGGGCCGCTGGAAACATAATTTAACTTCCCACTGCAGTTTTTAAGTTGCTGTGGAAGGAGAGGGGCTTATGCCCAGGGTATGTAAATTTGACCAGCTTT